TTTAGAACATGTGTAAAATTGATAAACTCGAGAGGTACTGAAAGTTTCGTCGCGATCGGCCGCTTTTTGCGCGAGTTATGTGCGAAAAGCCGAGGTGGTCCGTTCGCCCGCCTATAAGTGCGAGGGTTAATTTTGGCTTTTGATGCCGAATTCTGTTTTATGTCGCTTATTTCACGTTATAGAGTACAGTCCGAATTAGATTCGCTTCACTTCACTTCATTAATATTTTGTTGACTACCAGTCAACAAAAGCTCAGAAGTATATGTATTCTTTCATTTCAATCCATTATCTCTGTCAGAGGCATATCAACCTTGACCCGCAACTGACAATGTGTTTTAATTACAAGAAAATACACTTGTAATTCCAAAATATATTGCCAGTTTTGATACCGTTGGCTTGAGGACACGTGACTAGCCAAGTTCAGAATGTTCTAAGTAAAACTAAGTATCATAAAGCGAAAAAATGATGCTGCTAAAATCAAGCCATTTTGATAGCGCTGTGTTGGACATGATTGCGTTTTCATGAATGTGAGTTCTGCTGCCAAACTACTACCATTTTTTCTGATGATTTCTTTCAGGATGTGTTCTCTCAGCCTTTTTTAAACACTGGCATTTTATCAACTCACCTCTGAGCTTCTTTAGCCGAGAAATTTCGAAAAATCCAAAGCCATATCAACTCACCACCCCCAGGGGGTGAGTTGATATGGTTTTCTAGAAAAACCTCAGAATCCATATCAACTCACCCCGGTTTACGGTACGTATGACAGCAGTATGGAACCAGCAGAACGAAAACGTAGCTATAGGTATAGCTGCACCATCTTTGTTCTTATGTGTTGTCGCGCTATAGATAGTAGCTATACTTTTGCTATGGAATCTTATTTCATGCTCGACCGAACTATGCAAACTCAGCTTCTTCATACTGTCGCCGCCAATACTCGTGTCGCCTCTCTCTGCTCTTCCCTGACCCCCCGTTCTCTGCCGCACGAGTCCGGCCGCCCAGTCGACATCCATTTTTAAAGGGCTATCGGGTACGGGCAGAAGGGTTGCGTGCCGCCGGTCAGCCGCCGCTAACAAGACAATAGCCGGCCGCGCAGTCTGTATCGAGCGCGCCAGGTCAGTGTGCGAGCCCGACCCGGGCCGGGCCGACCGGTCGGGCCTAAGGTCGTCTTTACCGGTCAGGGTCGAGTAGACCCGTGGCGTTATATTATGGAGGATGCCTCTGCCGGCCGCGCTTTGGAGAGGATCTGTGAGAACTCACTGAAAGTGAGTGTGGAAAGGGGGATTATGGCTAAAATGCTCTGCATATTGGTCGCTTATAGCATACGAGGACAGCTACGTCAGCATTATGGAATATGGGTGTCTTCAGGCATTACGGCATCCCATCATGAAGTTTTTCATTCTTGTGTAATTATTGTTTTCAGACCCGCCAGCAGATATACTCGTATAGTACAAGGTTTCGATTGGCTGGTGGAAATAGCTGTGTGATCAGCGATCACCGAATACTGATTATGGTTACATGCCTTCTCACAAAAAGTTGTTCCATTCGTCAATGCCGTGCGATATCACGACATGGCGGCCCTCCGCTGTGCTCTGAGCCAGCGGCGGACCCCTGGCGTGCGGAGGATGCTGTTCCGCAATACAGCCGTGTACGGCGGGCCATAGGAGATTCGGCGCCTCGGCACGGAGCGTGCCGGCCGAGAAAGGGACTGTCATTTGCTGGCATTTACCCATGATCCTTTTTTACAGTCACGATATTAACATTGTATCAACTGAGAACATTATTCCAAGTTCAGTCAATGTGCTGAGGCTCCTCCAGAAACTATGCGTTATGCAAGTACCCACGCATTTTGTACCACTGTTATAGGAAATTTGCTGTTTTTGTTTTGAATAGAGGCTGTTATCTCCACTCTCATTTTACCTCAGCTATGTATGTCAGCAGATAGTTTTATGGTGTAATAGCTAGGTCGCAATCCATGTAGGTAGTTGTTTGGCCACGGGTATTGGACCTTACAAAGGGATTGCGCGTGGCCTTGCCTTACGCAGGGATGACCTTCAGCTAGCATTGAATATACGATATCCACTGTATTCCATGTGGCGACGTCGTTGCCATTGCATCGATTTACTCGGGCCCCAGCTTTGAAAGACCGCCGGGCCCTTTTCACTGGTAATGGCAAGATACACAACCGTGCCGTGCCGGCCATCCGATAACGCCCCTATTCTAATTGAGTCGCTAGACCTACGCTCCACTTTTATTATCATGCAAAATGCGGCTGATAATAGACGATATATGTCAGTCACATTAAACGGTAATGGACTACTTGACCCGCGCTCGGCTAGGACATATTTCATACTGAGTGCGATCGGGCGGTTGGCGTTAAAGCGACGCCGCGGCAAGTTTGTCTAATAGGACTTGCATAACTTAATTTCCAGGGTGCGTGGATACTTTTTTATTTACTTTTTTGAAACCTCAACACTCAATTTTGGGAAATGTGTAGGAGACGAATGATGTTTTTTTTCTTCTCGCTATAAACTGTGTCCTCCTGTGCGCTTGTTGGTCTTACCACACTACACAGTACACATGTTCTTTTGTTCTTCACTTTTCATAAGCGTATGCAAAATACAACATTGCCCTTGCGAGCTCTCCGTTGAACAGCCTCGGCTCCAATTCCGTTTGGTTTTCTCACCTCTGCCGTGTTCATTTCTGCCGGTGGCACGGCGGACCGCCGCCGGTCGACTCCGAAGCCGGTTATCTCCACCCAGCTCATAAATCATTCGGCGAGGAGCATTCAAAACATTGCCTGGGGCGGCGCGGCCGGTGCCGCCGGCGGACACTGCCGCTGGGGGCCGGCCGGTCGCGGCCGCTGCAATATTCAGAGCCGGCGCCGGTGCAGCGGGACAGCGGCCCGGCCGGCCGATAGGGCTATATTCGGCGGCAGGCACAGCGTCCACTCAGAGTACAGCGCTGTCCGGAGACGGGACGGGCTTGTAGGTGATTGATGGTGATTCTGCAGTGTATGCCTCATTGATTTGTGACAATATTATTTATTTATTTCCAGTCAGTAACACTTGAATGCATTTAATTGCATAACAAGTTTACGTAGTTGTGCTTCGTTGTTTACAATAGGGTACGCAAACAAATATTGGTTAATTGTTTCCACGTAGCTTATATGCCAACCGTTTTTGCAACGTATTTCATTTTTCCTAGAACCTAATGTTGCAACGCTCTAAAATTGATCTGATTGCTTCAAGCCAAGGTAAAGGTTAATGCAATCATGCCATATAGCCGTATTAATAAAATAATGGATAAATGGACGACGGACGGGACGTGAAAATGCAGCTTCATGTCGTCGCTCATTCCCCTTTTCACTGAACTCAGGAACATTCGCCACAGACACCTTGGAAGAGCAGCGACGATGTCGGCATTCACTGTTGCGATCAATGAGTGCCCGCCACCGTCTGTTCGCGTCCTTTAGAAACTATTGAGTTCATTGCGGGCTGTCTTGCGTGGAGCGACTGCAGTTAATCATGCAACCCGCAGTGTTTGGTCGTCCTCAACATTGGCGAGCAGACGAGTGGGCAGCCACCTAATGAACGAAACGAGGCATCGGGACGCAATGAGGCGCATTGCTAGATGACCAGTAGCGTGCTTAATCTATTTGGTAGTTTCTACCTGACCCTATGTGAAGCCTGGCATCATTTTTGATTTAATCATCAAACAGTGGTGACCTAAAATATCCTGACCTTTGTTCGAAATGCATTTCTGGCTCGATTATGAACCGAAAAAATGAATCGAAAATCTGAATAGGTTCCATCCAAGCTAAAGCTGTGCCTTTTCCGTTACTTCTGGCGATTTTAAAGGCATTCACTGAAAATAAATCTACTAACTTGCCAAATTACGAAACATGCTACGTTTCGTAACCTGTCACTAAACCGAGACTCTGGCACAGACACTTGAAAAGATGCTGGCCCAGTGGTAATCGCTGGCGTGTTGAGGTCAATGAGCCCGAAGCCCTCATCTCCCTTCCGCCAACCTCAAAGGGCCGCGCAGCATTGTCATCCGTCCGTGACTCTGACGCCAGAGTTTGTGTCGTCACTTGGTCTCGGGAGTTGTCATGCGCGAATTCCGTTGACCTTGATTCCAGGCGGGTGTTACACAACTAATGGCTTCTAGCACCGTTACGCGAGTCGCGAACCCACACCATTCCCCGCTTTGGTTGTGTGACGCCAACCGTTTTCAGGTGCACGCAGTGCCGCAGTTCATTGAATAACTAACTATTGATAACGTGACGCCATAAGCTTTTCCGTTGCTGTAAACGTTGTTGCCATGTGCCCAGTTGCCATAGAAACTGAAATTGCAAGTAGTTCTAATGCCAGCTAGTCAAAGAGGCATTAGACAAAGTTGCACAATTTAATTAGACGCAAATTAGACAACACGGCATTGCACAAAGTTTTTGTCACTTTTATTAATCATCTCGTGGGTGCTCAACATTGGATATCTACCTTGTCACCCATCTCATCTCACGCTTCCTCCGCAACTCGCCAAAACTACCGTGTGTATTTATAGACATGACATAAACTGTACCGTACGTCCAGCAGCGCCGCTAAGCCTAGCATCCGACGCCGCCTATTGCACCCGGCCGTAAATGTCGACCGAATTTATGCTGGGTGACGCCCGGATCTGCAAGTTAAATGGGAACCAGCCGCTATAGCCGCCGCACGAGCCCGCAGTGCTGCTCACTAATACGCTCCCTGCTCTATCAAGCTCCAATTGGGGAACTCTGAACGACCTTGCCGTGGACCGGAAGAGGGTGGCTTGGATGTTACGATTTACGAACACCTTGAATATAATAGCTCGTACGCAAGGTTATTGATTCCACCGCTATAGCGCCATGGACTCATGTGTCTGCCGGAAAATGTTTTAGTGACGAGTGACAAGCAAAGTTGGCGTGGCAACACGACATCCACCATTCTTCATTGTACCGCGCATTGTCTTTGTTTCAGACGTTTTGCGCCGTTTCCAAGAGGTTCAACAAGAACTACGTGCACCGCTTCACTGCGTCCAAATCGTTCTTCATCTTCTCTCCGTGGAACCCTGTCCGGAGAGCCTGCATCTTCGTTTCCACCAACCAGTACTTTGACTACTTCGTCATGTTCACCATCATCAGCAACTGTGTCTTCTTGGCCATGACCAAACCTCCGGAGGAGGCCGAGTGAGTACCCCGACTGAATGGATTTCATGTGTGGGAGAGAAAATGAGAAAATACTACGTCGTTACTGTGTAAAAGGTGTTGAAACTTGTGCGTCAACCACTGGCGAAAATAGCTCCGTATTGTACTCCTTCGCGGTGGCTTAGTGACTCCAACTTCAGCTTGAAGATACCTTTGCATTATTTCTCCTTTATCATCTGACAGACTATGTATGTACAACCCACCGCTAAAATAATGTAGGGTTTTACCAATCTCAACGGTTGACTGGCGATTGTTTAATGCGGAGTGATCGAAAAGAAGATGTCAATAGCTAAAGTTGCAGCTGCAAGGGTGACGATACATATAAGCTACATTCAAAGTTTCATTGTAGTCTGGCTAATCGTTCCTAAGCTTCAGAAGCAGAACATACCCATGACTGAAACCCCACATTACTTCTGCTGTGGACTGTACCTACTATTGCCAACTTTATCAAAGTGAGGCTACATATTTTTATATGCGCTTTTTTCAACGTTAGTCAGCCTGGTGCCCTTCATTCTTGGTTCTACCGAGAAGTGAGAAAGCCTTGTGAGACTGTCAGACTACTTGGGAGGGGTAAATTCTCGCTTTTAAGTTTGGGCACACCCGAACATGAAAAGTGCATGGAAACTTTGTATACTCGTAGCGCGCCTTGTTTTGTAGCGTTCCGGACTTCGCATTTTTTTTTGTGCGAAGGCATTTGGAAGTTAAAATAGCAAAAGCTGTTTGCATTTGGACTCCAAAACAATATCAACGTTTTATTTTGTGACTTTGTTTTTATATATTATTTTTTGGATGAACTTCTTACGTAACACCTATTCATTTATTTGAGACAGTTGCATTATTGCACATTTGGCCGCATTTTCGACCTGTTTTCAGATACTTTATTTCCAGCATGATAGGCCCACAGGTTTGATCAAAGCACCGTCTTTCCCACCACACCAGAGCTCCTCTTTTCCGTCCGCCGTAGCCCCACCAGACGACCGCAGCACGATACTCTCACTGCGAATCGATACGCCCTTTGGCCAGACTCGACACCAATTTCCCGTCGATTCTTGACGCCTGCGGCCGACAGTCGACACGATCGGCGGCGCGGCGTCTGGCGCGGCCGGGCGCCAGTTTCGCCGCTATCTGCGCCACCTAGGATGGGTGCTGAGTGGATTTCGAAGAGCTGGGTGGTCGAAGTGATCCTATTTAAATAATCCTACCCGGTTATATCCTAGCCGTAAGTACTTGCATGCAATGAAAAAAGGGACATTGTGAAAATCCGACTGGAAGTGGATGGATTGATTGGGTTGAATGAAAGAAAGACTGAGGTAGCCTGAGGACGCGAAAAGTGGCGCATGTTGCTGGTTGCACGCTGGGCAGAACCTACACAAGAAGTAAAAGCAAGGCTGTATATGAAAGCTAAAAGTGCTTGCTGGTGCTGTCGCCTTGGTGCTGTCTGCTGAATGCTGGTGCACTTGCATGAATTGGGATTGTGAAGGCAAGCCTTTCACTGACTGTATGACTGTATGATCCGCACTTGCACTGTACCGACCTATATTAAGTTGAGATCTGTGTGTGAGTTGTAAGAGTTCATTCTAATATTGATATGGGCGTCTCGCCAACAAACTCAAAGAAAACCCCTATGCTGAAACAAACAACTCTGAGACCAAAGAATAAAAGGGAAATGAACAAAGCCGACAAAGGTCACCCGAAAGGCGAACCCAGGGGTAAAGTGCAAAGATCAGTAGAGACTAAAAGTCTGACTCCAAAAGAAAAACAGATAGGCAGGTTGGACTTGAGTGCATATGAACCATTCGAGCCAGGACACAGGTCATCGGTAGATCTCAGTAAGGAGGAAACATGTAAAGGAGCACCGGGTGTGACATGTGGTTTACCGGTTGGAGATGATGATGAGGGTGTTGCATGTGACTTGTGTCACAGATGGTATCACGGAACATGTCAGGGGGTGACATCTGAGGCATATGAAGCACTGCAGGAGCACCAAGATACGCTAGCATGGATCTGCAAAGAATGCAAGGTCAAGATAAGACTAGACAAAAACAAAGAAAAAGAAATGAAGAAACTGGAGGAAAAAATAGATGCTCTTACAGACACCATCAAAGATCAAATGAGAGTCATCAAAAAAACTGCGGATGATCATGAACAAGTCCTTGTACAGCTAGGTGAGCTGCAAGGAAGGAACCTGAATACTCTACATGAACAAAATGAAACAATCATCAGCAAGGTTGAAAGCCTGGCAGTGAGCAGCATCGGAGAAGTAAGAGATTCAGAGAAGACGTATGCTGATGCGGCTAAACAAACATGTGAAAAACATGTAGAAAAGGTAGTGAGCACACTCAGCGCAAGACTTGATGTCATACCAAAAGTTGACAAGATAGTAGAAGATATCAAGAAAGTGATGAAAACAAAGGATACGGAAGACAGAGCAACCAACATACTCATCCATAACGTGCCCGAAAGTCGATCTGAGAACGGTGAACAACAAAGAGAAGATGACCTGAAGAAGGTCAAGAACATCACAGAAGCACTAGGAGTAGCAAACATAAGCATAAAAAGTATCCTAAGACTCAGAAGACACCCAAGAAAGTCAGACACAGCGGCGAGAGGATCAGACCAAACGGAATCTCGGGAAAACAAACAAAATAAACCCAGAATCATGCTGCTGAAACTAGGCACAAAAGAAGAAGCTGAAGTCCTATACAAAAGAAGATTTGATTTGAAAAGAAAGGGAATCGAAAACACATACATATCGAGAGACCTCGACCCAGAACAACGGGAAAAACAAAGAAAACTACGGGAAGAATGGAACAAGAAAGGCAGAGAAACCCACGTAATCTACCATGGTAAGGTGGTAGAACGGAAGGGAAACAAGTCTGTGAAGTAAGGAAGAAAAAGAAGCAGAGTGAACTTGAAGAAAGGACTGCTAAAGGTAGTATACTTGTCATCCAACTTTTGAACATTCAAGGGCTAACCAGAGCTAAGCAGATAGAAATTATAGATATGGTCAGTCAAAAGGCAAACCTGTTGTGTTTGACAGAGACTCAACTTAGGCATGACAAGCTAATGTGGCCAGATGGCATAGAAAAGATCGAAAAAATGAGAAATCAGCAAGACAAAAAAGGGGGTGGTCTACTAATGATATACAGGAAAGACTCCTGGTTTGAGGTAGAGAAGATGGAGACGAAAAATGTGGATATCCTGTACGGGAAGATTAAGGCAAACAGCCTCAAGATTCACCTGATTCTGGTGTACTTTTCAATCATAAAAACAATGGATGACAAGATACGCAACCAAGAAATGAAAAAGGAAATCGAAGGAATTCTGGAAGGAGTTCAGGAAAAAAGTGAAGCAGCCATCGTACTTGGAGACTTCAATGGACATATTGACCTCTTGGGATATCAGAAAGAAGATGAAAATGGACGCATCATACTGAATTGGATTGATAACCTTAACATGACCCTATTAAATCTGGACAGAGCATGTCAAGGTATGTTTACATGGTCGAGACAAGATCAAAAAAGTGTTATCGACTATGTCCTTTCAAACAAAGAATGCTATAGATACTTTCAAGGGATGCAAGTGGATGAGGGAAAGGAAATAACTGATGTATCCGACCATAATGTGGTTACAACTACTTTTAAGCTACCACATGTTGACAACAACTTCAAAAAGGATAAAGTAATCAGAGAGAGCTACATGAAAACGGACCAAAAGTCCATGCAGAAATTCGGAGAAGAGATGAATAGAAGGCTGAGGACAACAGAAGTCCAAAAATTTGAAGTGCTTAACAGCATGATGAAAGAGGTGGCAGAGACTCTACTTGTAGCTGTCTACAAAAGGAGATTGAGTAGACAATATTCAAGGAAAGAGCCACCATGGATTACGGAAGCTATCAGAGAAGCAATAAAGAAAAGAAAGGACCTGAACCGCATGAAAAGAAATGCAATAGATGATGCTAAAAAAGTCACCCTTGAACAAAAGTACAAAGAGCAAAAACAGAAGACACAGCGCCTGATTAAAGAAGCAATAACAGTGACAGAAAAAAAGATAACAAAGGAAATTCGAAGCAGTGAAAACAAAAGTAAATCGCTATGGGAAAATATAGACAAACTCAGGAAGAAAGAGCGTATTAAAGAAGAAGTACGTCTATATGACGAAAATGCCAAAATTCTCGACCACCTTGAGGAGAAAGAAAAACTTATCAGCTACTGGACCAGCATATACCAGCAGCATAATAACGATATTGACGAGCATTGGAATGAAGAAGAAAGACGAAGTTATACTGAGGAAATGAAAGAACAGGCACGGAACAAATGCTTTCCTAGGCATCTATGCGAACATATGGACATGGCCATGTACATCAACAATGTCGTTGAACCAATGGAAGATCCTCAGCCTGATGGAGCGCAGGTGAGGGCTATAATAAATAAAACGAAAACAAAAACCACTCCTGGGCCAGACGGGCTGAAGAACGAGCTGTACAAAGAGTTAATCAAAAGCGACAAAGGCCTTAAAGTGCTAACAACATGTATGCAAAACGAACTGACATCTGACACGAAGCCGGATTCATGGAAAGGATCACATACAAAGATGATACCTAAAACAAGCAAACCAACAGCACGGCAACTACGACCAATAGCACTGACCAACGCATCATATAAGATATATATGAGCATGATCAAAAACGAAATCGAAGAACATCTACTGGTGAACGGAGCCTTAATGGAAACTCAAGCAGGCTTTACTGCTGGAGGACGTGTTGAGGACAATCTCTTTCTTCTAAGCTACTGCGTCGAACAAAGTTATAAAAGAAAGAGACCGCTATATGTGACAGCCATTGATTTTGAAAAAGCCTTTGATTCAGTCAAGAGAGGCCCAATGATCAAAGTCATGCAAAGATATAAGATCCATCCCGATATTATCTCATCGGTAGCAAGTATATATCACGGCGACTTCACAACGATTAGGCTCAGTAGTGC